AAAAAAAAAAAAAAAAAAAAAGTGTTAATAATAAAAGAATACCTGGGGCTGAGGAGGTGGCTCAGTCAGAAAAGAACCTATGTAAAAAGCATGGTGGCGCACATCTGTAATCACAGTTATGGGCAGCAGAGACAAGCAGATGCCTGGAGCTCACTGGACAGCCAGTGTAGCCAAATCAGTGAGGTCCAGGGTCAGTGAGAGACTGCATCTCAAAAGAGGTCTGGCTGGTGAGACGGTCTACAAGTGAAGGCACTTGCTGAAGGAGAGTGATGCCCTGAGTTTGACCACTAGGACACACGTGGTAGAGAGAACTGTCACAAGTTATCTTCTGACCTCCATGAGCCTGGGCCAATGCACAACAAATAAATATTTTAAAAGCTCTCCTATTCAAAAACTGTTAAAAAACAGAATATGAAACTACTGGCACAGGTCGATGACAGGGCTAACTGCTGTTAACTCCATGTGATTTTCACTCCAGCAGACACTCACCCAAGCTTGGAGATGCTACCAAAATAGTCACAATGACGGTAGCAAAGTCCCTTATAAAAAGAAGTCCCATTTTGCAGGGAAAAATATCCTTCCTGTCTTAGTTAGGGTTGCCATGTTAGGGTTGCTGTGATGAAATACTGTGACCAAAACAACTTGGGGAGTGTGGTGGTTTGAATAAGAACGGCCCCCACAGGCTCATATATCTGAATGCTTGGTCATATGGGCGTGGCACTACTTGAGAGGGATTAGGAGGTGATATAGGCAGACTTTTTTTTTTTCCTGCCAGCCAATTCCCAAATAACCACACTAAGACTTATTATTAATTATAAATGCTTGGCCAATAGCTTAGGTTGTCTCCAGCCAGCTCTTTTCTTTTTATGTTTTCAAGGTCAAACAGATATATTTTAGATAGACAGGTCATCTTCAAACACTGCAGAGATCTATAGAATATGCCATTTAAGATGTTTTCATAATATAGATTCTTTTTTTATTACTATGAGACATGCCTGCTCCTGGCAGCAACAATCTACTTCCGAGAAGATGATGGGTACTAAAGAAAACTCCAGCCTGGTGGTAGTGTCCAGCCAGCTCTCACAACTTAACCTACCCATTTCTACTATCTATGTGCTGCCCTGAGGCTCGTTTACCTCATCTATGAGCTTCCCATGTTTTGTGTTCCATGTCTGGCTCTCGACTCCTCAGATCCCACCCTCCTTCTTTCCAGTATCCTCTCTGCCCCGAAAATCCTGCCTAGCTATCAGCCAATCAGCTTTTTATTAACAATGAGAGCAATACATCTTCACAGTGTGCAGGATTGTTCCACAGCAAGGTGAGGCCTTGTTGGAGGAAGTGTGTCACCTAAGTGGGCCCTGGGGTTTCAAAAAAGTCTCTTCCTTACTGCTGCCTGTGGCCATGGATATAGAACTCTCAGCTCCTTTTCCAGCACCATGTCCGCCTGTGTGCCACCACGCTTCCTGCCATGATGACAATGGACTAAACCTCTGAAACTGTAAGCGAGCCCCAATTAAACGCTTTCCTTTATAATAGTTGACATGGGGGGCTGGAGAGATGGCTCAGAGGTTAAGAGTACCAGCTACTCTTCCAGAGGTCCTGAGTTCAATTCCCAGCACCCACATGGTGGCTCACAACCATCTGTAATGAGATCTGGTGCCCTCTTCTGTATACATAATAAATAAATAAATCTTTAAAAAAAATAGTTGACATGGACATGATGTCTCTTCACAGCAATAGAACACTGTCTAAAACGGAGGAAAAGGTTTATTAGGCTTACACTTCCACATCGTAGTTCATCACTGAAGGAAGTCAGGGCAGGAACTCAAGCAGGGCAGAAACCTGGAGGCGGGAGCTGATGCTGAGGCCATGGAGCACGTGCTGTTTACTGGCTTGCTCCTCATGGCTTGCTCAGCCTGCTTTCTTATAGAACCCAAGACCACCAGCCCAGGGATGGCACCACCCACAATAGGATGAGCCCTCCCACATCAATCACTAATTAAGACTACGCCCTGCAGCTTGATCTTATGGAAGCATTTTCTTAATTGCAGTTCTCTCCTCAGATGACTTCAGATTGTGTCAAGTTGACATAAAACTGTCTAGTATACTTACCCAGAGACACCAAGATCCTATAGTTCTCCAACATCACATGACTGTACAAATGCCTTTGAGAAGAATTCAGACAATCCCATTCTTCTTGGGAGAAGTCAACTGCCACGTCTCTGAAGGTCACCATCTCCTGAAGTGAAAGAAGTGAAAGGAAATAATCTCCCCCTTGCCATGTTCACCTCATTTACTCAGCACTGGGACAGGGGCTCTCCCTGATATGAAACCCCCAACATGTCAGCCATGCTCCCTCTCAGGGCCTCTGTATTTCTCATCACATTCTGAACAGTGTTCCTATGTAGTGGAATCTAGCAGAGTCATTGCATCTTTTCATTCATCAGAATGAAATAGTTGTTTCTCACTGTATCTAGCAACATTAGAACGTAATAGCTGGAGGTTCTTAGACCTTGAAGAAATCATAGTAGAGAACAGTGATTGTTTTCTGTGCATTATGGAGTTGTTTTTCGGAAGGAATTTTCCATCTGCTGCATGACTGTGGTCACAAGACTATCCTGGCACACTTACAGCATCTTAAATTACTGGGCTGCAAACAGTGCACAATAAGGACTGTGATGATTTCCTTCGAAGAACATATAGAATAGATCAAAGGGGCTTTGATAGGAGGAACTTGTTTTACACACACCCACACACATACACACACACACACACAAACCCTTTGTGTAACAATCAATAATATGCTCTGAACAGCAGTTCAAGGCTCAGTCTATCCGAGGCTGGACCTCCTTGGTGCCAGAGAGCCTCTATATTTACATGGCCTACACATGTAGAGTCAACCAACTGTGATCAAAATATTAGAAGCAGCTGGGCACGGTGTGTAACATCTGTAATCACTGCACTCAAGAGGCTGAAGCAGGAGAATTTCAAGTTTAAGGAGCCAAACACTGTCAGAGAGAGTGGGTGAAACAAGCACAAGGAGCAGAAAGGAATGGAAGGAGAAGGCCAAGCCAGGAGGATATAGCAACAATCCACACGAGAGACGGCGGTTCAGAACAGAACAGCAGCCGCGTCGGGAGTGGAAAGCAGGCTGATTCTAGCCATGTTTGGAAAGTAGAACAAACAGCCCCTGATGGAAGAGTAAGAGCTCCCTAGTTCCCTGGTCTACTTCCCTGGTTTATCCTCAACCCATTCAGTTTACTACCAACAGTGGAAGATGGATCTTACTAAAATGAGAATCAGACCATGACACTCCCCACTCCTGAATTTTACTCAGTTTGAAAGATGTTTGCATTTGAGATAGCTACTATGCAACCACATGAACATGTTCAGTAGGCAGTCAGAGATGAAAGCCAGGTTCAGGAATGAGATCTATGCTGTGGAATAATCTTTCTGTACACTGTGAATGTAGATCACTCTCACTGGTTAATAAAAAGCTGACAGGCTGGTAGCCAGGCAGGAAGTTAGGCGGGAAAACCAAACTGAGAATGATGGGAAGAGGAAGGGCAGAGTCTGGAGTTGCCAGCCATATGAAGAATGAGTGGGACACACAAAGTGGGATAGAGGTAAAAACTACGAGCCTTGGGGCAGCACATAGATTTATAGAAATGGGTTAAGTTGTAAGAGCTACTTAGTAACAAGCCTGAGCTACTGGCCGATCATTTGTAATTAATATAAGCCTCAGTGTGTCTGTTTGAGAGTGACTGCAGGACAAGAAAACTCCTTCTACAGATCTAGCCAGTGTAGTGGTGTACACCTTTAGTCACAGTACTCAGAAGGCAGAGGCAGATGGCGTTTTGTGAATTTAAGGCCTGCCTTGTCTATGCAGTGAGACTCTTCATATCAAAAAACAGAAACAAACAAACACACAAACAAAAAAGGTTTAGATGTACAGTCTGGTAATTGTGGACATACAAATAGTGTTTTAAGCCATGCTGCAAGATAAGATTACTAGAGCAGTGAGTGTAAATAAAAGAGCAAGAGACCCAAGAGTAAGTCCTGTGGTACCCAATGTCAACAGGCACTTAAAATCTGTTGATGCATGAATGATGTTTGGGAAGTAACTAGAATTAATCTGGGCTTTATCTTATATATGGCGGAATAGCATGCCAGGAAGAGGGAACAGTATGTATAAGATCACACATTAAAAATGTATATAGCAAAAAAAAAAAAAAAAAAAAAA